ATCCTTTCAGAATCGATCAAGTTATAAGAGATAGTTCTTAATTTGGCTGAGAATAATCTATCACATTTACGTCTGATTTTTATAGAAAATTTTGTGGGTGTGAACAGGTTCTGAATAAAAAAGAGTCAATAATTGAGACTAAAGAATTAAGACTTTTTTTGTTTACCATAAGTGTAGCAATGTTACAGATTTTCGAAAGTCGAAGTTTTTTGAAAAAACAAGTTAGTATTTTTCTGTTTACTTGTGTTCATTGACTTGTTCCAACTATCTGTTGGCTACGTTCATGATCTATAGGATCCTCCAGGATTATTGCCAACATGTTATGGAGGACCAGGAAAAGTACAGTCAAGGAACTTTTTCTAATACCTGTGTTCTTGTTCGCTGTGTGATATATCAAATTAAACAAAAACTAATTTCAGATTTGAGATTCAGATTCTTAAACAAACAAAAGTCGTATCACATCAAGTCGACATAGCTTAGCGGATAATGCATGTGTTTGAAAATCAAAAGTTCGAAAGATCAAATCACCAAGAAGTCAAATTTTGAATGAAATTCAAAAATTACTGAGGGTTTGACTAGTTGATCGCAAAAGGAGTGGTAGACACCCAGTACCAGGCCAAGGCGGTACTGGGGGTGGGTGAGGGAGAAGGTAAAATTTTTTTGATATTGGCTTCTTACCTCCCAAAATTTCAGCCCTCTACGGCCACGGGAGTGTATTTTTGAATGTGGATGGTGTAAAGTTGAAAAAATTGAATCGGGCAAATTTTGAACGTTCCATCACACAGCCAAACATCTCGATGTAATATCAAACTCTGGATATTGTTCCGATATCCAAAAATCAACACTCTTTCTGGATCTTCAATGCCGCTATCGAAGACGCAAAAATCCTTGTGTTGCTTTGGCACTTCAAAATGTCTGTCGACAATTGGAGGCAACGTGGGTCTGTCATTAACCTTCTGTCGATTGAGGGCCCGATTAATCGCCGACCGGCAAGGAAGTGCTAATTGAACTGCTTTTTCTTCGGAGACAGACGGCAGGCCGTTTGCTATAATTATGCTATTGACTGGTACTTGCTGAATTTTTGTGTCCTGTTTCATTTTCTGCACGAGAAGCCTTGTATCCGAACGACCAGGAAATACTTCGTTCGTGTGCTCTTTTCTAGAGGAAATAAGATCGTTTTCTCGGGTTATTGCTGTCGTTTTGCATTTATGGGACCCCCATCTTGAACACTTCCAGTGAATGTTTCCATTCTTTGTATCCTGTTTTTTCGTAAACTCGTGGCCACCGATTACAAACGTTCTCCGATTCTGTTGCAATAGACCCCAAGAAATTTGACTCACTTAGTCTTTAGAACAATTTCCTTAAGTGAAAGACTCAAATTGAGTCCAAAAATTTAGATTCAAATGAATTAACACGTGCTGTATCTTTCCGATTCTAATTAGGACTTTGAAAGCTTACATTATGGGACCTCATTATGGTATATAGGGCAGATTAGTATAGGGTAGATTGGTATGTAGGATATAATGGCATAGGGTAGAATGGTATAGGGTAGTTTGGAATAGGGTATATTGTCCTGCCACCGTTAATCATAGTCAATTAAGTTCAGCAGTAAAATTGAATCATTTTTTCAAAAAAATTGAATTGTCACATCGAAACATCTTTCGGGAGCAGCGTGAGAAAGTTCAGATCAACTTAACCATTGCGCACCCCACTAAGTTATCTACTAAAGAATTGCAACCCCTATAAAAAAGCAGTAAATTGGTGCTAAAGCGTTCGTGGGACAACAGATATGTGCATTTCAGGACTAAAATAATCGGCTTAATAGTCCCTTTTTTTAAAGGGGCTAATTGTTACGTAGTGTGATACACTAAGGAACTCTGAACGACAGCATCTGATTTTAAAAAGAATCAACGCAATCATTATTCGACAACTTGCTGTAATTTTGCTGGCTAGACTTTAAAACTGTTGATATATTTGTGCAATGTGAATATCAGATTTCAATATAGTTTTTGTATAACTATCAGTAATTCAACTAAACCAGTGATAGTCTTTTCTCTTTTTTGATTAGCATTCACTGATTAGTTTTGAGCTATTTTCTTCCGGCCGTAATTGAACTCAGAAATCCGCATACTTCTTAGAAATTTGTTGGCATCAATGAAGTTCTCGCAAAATTTACTATGTTTCCACTATCTGCCCATGCCATGCCCACTTGCTTGGTGCTGCTGTATGGGAATGCTTACAAATTTCTTGTTCCGGACTATATTACGGAACAAAACATTTCTAGTTTTTTACAAAAACATTTTTATGCCCAATTATACCACAATATCAAGTGAGGGGGTCCGGTCAGATGGTTGAAACATGGTAAATGTGGCGCGAACTTCGTTGAGGCCAAAAACAACTTCAAAGAGTTTTCGGTTCAAGACGAGTTCTCATTGAAATTAGATAATTTGAGAATAGGATGACCTCTAAATTTAAGCACAATTCTACATAGTTTCATTTAAACAAATTTCAACTTAATTTAGTTGCTTACGCTTTTTGCAATTTTAACGTTTGTGTAGATGTTTACACTTGCGAAGCAATGTGTTATAGTACGAACTTTTTTTCCAACCTAAGTCGCAAATATAGTTGCGACCACAATATTTGCTGCGTCTAATTTGCGGCATCGAATTTGCAATGAGATATTTTATTGTGATAAGATATTTTAAGGCAATAAGACAATATTTGCACTAAGATATTTTGAGACAATATTGCGACTTCAATATTTGCTGCGTAGAATTTGCGGAATCGAATTTGCAATGAGATATTTTGTTGCACCTTTGATATTTAGTTGCCCCTTTACAGCTTATTGATAACATTTGCTTTGACATTCGAATAGTATCAGTTTACGCAGTTGATGCATTTTTAATTCATCAAGTGAACCGAAAAAAGCTATTTGTTTCAAACCACATAAAAAAAATAAAACCTTGGTTTCAGAAACTTTCTAACTCAATATATTTTTTGAAATGGGTATAATTTATACTTAATGTGGCTTTATGATTTGCATTTTTGTACTTGCAAAGTTGTATCTTTTTGTATTTGATGCTAATTTTGCTGCATCGAATTGGCTATCTATTAGCATATGTAGCTGCATTATTGATGGCTAGTTTTAGGTGATTTTAAGCATCCGTGGATGAATGGTTGGTGCGTGAGACCAAAATTTGCTAGGTCGCAGATTTTTGCTAAGTCTCGAGTTTTTCCAAATTCGAGGCTTCTTTATACTTTTTCTTATGTCACTTGAAAGAGCTGCTTTTTGGTCGTCTTCTTGCAAGTGTTTGCGAAGCGCAGCTTCGCCTCTGGTAATTTTGTTTTCGAGTTGAAAATTTTTTTAAAACAAATTAACTTCATCATTTGATAACTTGCTTCATAATAAATTCAATTTTCTTGGCTTCCTCGCTCGGCACACTTGGTCTAGAGGTTACGACTACGCCTAGGCCTACGAAGAACCTGGACTCGAATCTGACCAGGTTTTTTTTCAAGCTGCAAATTTTCTGTTTCAATTCTTTTCCTTGTTTTGTCGGCTTAGTTGTCTTTTCACTGATTTTCTTGTGCTGCAAACAAATTTCTTTGAATTTACTGGATCTGATTGTTTTGGTTAATTTTTTTGTTTTCACTTAAAAGTCCTATTTGGCCTCATTTGTTTCGGCTGATCTTCTATTGGTTTAAAGAAATTGCATGAAGGGAAAATTTGAATTTTATCATTTTTCGTGCTTCCGGAGGGGGCGTCCAAGTTTAGAATTCAGATCTTTCATGTTTTTCATGGCAACAGCTTTTTTTCGGCTCAACAGGAGTTCACCCAGCTTTTTCGGCCTATTTGCCGCGCCATGTTTCTGAATATTTATTGAAAGTCGGTGATTGCGTTTCTAAACGTTTTTTTTTCTCAAATTTAACATCATTGCAAATTTTTTGTTTCAAAATTTTTTGGACTTGTTTATGTTTTCTGTCTGCTAACGTGCAATGCTAAGTTGTTGTGGTATCGGAAGTGATTCTAAAATTTGCTTCGACTCTGTGTTTTACCACTCATTCTTATATTTCCCCTCTTAATTCAACAGCCTTTTATTGAAAACACGTAACAGTAAACTATGACACATTAAGTTTCGATTTTTCAAGTTTTTCATTCTTGAAATTGTTTCTTCAATCGAAGTTGTCGGAATATTCTGTGCTACCTCGCACTTTAACCGTCCATCCTTGTTATTGTTGGATCTTTGCTGAATAATGAATTGTTTGTTTGCTGCATCGAATGTATGTTGCTGCGAGCTATTTTTCTCGATGCAAAGCGATGCAAGACGAACTACTTGAGGAGAATTGAAGAAATTAGTTTTTTTTCAGCAAAGTTGCTTTAAAGAAACATGCAATGTATTCAGGGCACGATATAAAACTTGATTTGGCTATTTCAATTAAAATATGAAAACTTGGATAGAAGTCATTTTCTTTGATAAGTTTTGTTGAACGTCCAATTTTGATCGTTTTCCCTCTGAGTAAGTATATCCAAGGCTCGTAACATGGCAAGATGGTTGCCGAGTGAAACTTGCTCCAAAATGTAACCCCGAATTTCAGGTGGGGCAAGTTTGAATGAGTTATGATTTTGGATAATCTGATGAATCTTTTTGTAGTCCCGCTTATTAGTGGATTGTAAGCCATCTGTGAGAATTACTTTTAGGAACATAACAAGTAAAGTAAAAGAAAAATTTTTCATTGAAATTTATTTTCTGAAGACTTTGGTGTACTGGAAGGAAATATTTAGTATTGGATAATTAGGAAAACTATTTTTATTTAGCTAGCGCGTTACCAGCTATTGTGTATTTTATAATCAATTGTGAGTTGTTATCGTGAATGAAACATAGAAAACGAAAAGGCAAAAGCTGTAAAATAGTAAATTAATGAGAGGAAATGGGAAGTAACGGTTTTGACGTAATTTAATTTTTCTCCTAACGACGGCTTTTAGTAAGAGTTAAATGAAATTAACAGGAACCCAATCAAATTATACGTCAAAGAACGCTGGAAAAGATTAATTTATAGCCTTTTTTCTTTTTTAGAAAATAAATGTACTGCTTCAAATTGTTGGCGTTTTTTGAATTGCAGGACGTTTTTCAAAATGGTAAATAAAGGCTGAGGATAATGAACAGCGATGCGTTCCTCGAGTTTGAGGATTTACTGCAGCGGCATAATTACAAATTCAGTAATTTTCAATTCGCGTTCAAGTCATACGACCCCTGGAGTGCCCTAATAGAGGCTGAAAAGGCAGAAAGAACTCGACATGCGAGCGCATTTCGGGGTAACAATAGAAATAAAAAGGATGTCCAAAATAGCCCAAAAACTGAATCGATGTTTTCAAACCCACCGAGTGGAGATGATGTCAAAAAGAAGGTATTAAATTCGCCTGCAGTGGATCATGCGATCCGGAGTCTGAAGCTGGAATCGAACGAAGAGTCTGAGGAACAGTTGAGAAAAAGAGCCAGAGATATTGTAGACATGATGGCACATAACCAGACATACTCGTGGGCCAGAACGATTGCTGGCTCGCTTTACTTCATTATGAAGAGAACTTTCAATAATATATTTGTGAATGCGGGTGCTTTCGAGCAGGTAAATTGCGGGTACTTTCGAGCATTTGTTTACTCAACGAATGTGAACCCCTCCATTTAATTGGTGTATACCACATAATTGACCAGAATGGATTTAGGAGTTTTGCCCTAAGAACAAGTCGATAATCTGAACGTTCTCAAGTGACTTGAAAAACTTTATTTTGCTTTTTTGTTTTGTGCTCTCGATTCGAATTTTGGGGAAAAAACTAATTCTATAAGTTTTTTTTGTGGTTTTTGGAGGGATTTAAATTTTTTTTGCGTGAGTTTTGGTTAAGAACTGAACAGCACGCTAAGAACTGTTCATGCTTGCTTAATTTATTATATTGCAGATCAAAGAACTGTTCAACAAGGGACCGGTGGTGTTTCTGCCCTCCCATCGGAGCTACATGGACTTCCTCTTAGTCTCTGTCATCCTGTTCGCTTATGATCTACCCATCCCAGTCATTGCTGCGGCCATTGACTTTCTAGGCATGAAATTCGTGGGAGAATTACTCAGACGTTGTGGTGCTTTTTTCATTCGAAGAAGTTTCAAAACCGACAAGGTGAGTATTTTTTTGGCGCTTACGTACTCCTAGAAACCGGTTGCCAGTTGTTAAAAGCCACTGGCAATGGTTACAACCGAATGGTCAAAGTAAACGGAATTTCTTTTTATTTCTATCTAAAACTATCTTTTTTATTATCCTATAAACTTTTGATTATAATTTGAAAATTTCTTTTTTTTTCAATCGTGACAATGATTGTTTGGCTTATTGATAATATGAGCAGTGATACTTCATAGAAATTTTCCGTTTGCAGCTGTATTGGACAATCTTCTACGAGTATGTGCAAACACATCTGCACGCAGCCAAGTTCCCGATTGAATTCTTTATTGAAGGCACTCGAAGCAGAACAGGCAATTTCCTCTATCCGAAGTCGGGAATGCTGAACGTCGTCTGCCAGGTTAGACATGTCCCATATGAGAAGGAAATATTTTGCAGTATTTTCAGGCTTTTTCTGGAGTGAAATGCTCAACTTTGTTATGAAATGCTCCTGTTATACCCTCAACCACTAGGTGAGGTATAAAGTATGTTATGTAATCAAAGTCTATGCTGAACGCTAACTAAGAATAGAGAAATAGAGAGATTAAGAGAACAACTTAATTTCCACTCTCTATGTTTAAGTCTGGCTGACTCTGACCTCGAATCGCTTGAGAGACAGAGTTTCATAATAACTAGTACATATGTCAATACGTATAAATAGGTACTTATTTAATCATCAGACTTCTATATGTGTTGCTTAATCAGTTATGTTTATAATATGGAATCATTACCAACTGGTAGTTTTAGCACCTACATGTAGATCATTACTAAAGGATGTTTTCTATAATATCCGTACGGATAACATTTCCCTCTTTTTGATTAAGTGAGAACTTCATTTATTTATTCATTTTCTATTTTTCAGTGGGGTTGGTAGTTTCTGATTGTACGTTTTGTTCCAATCGGATTGCGGTGTGTGATGCGGTTTGGTCCGTGACTTCTTCTCGTTCTCGTTGAAACGGCATGGAGATTCCTCTTACTGGTGAAATGGCTTGGAGTATATTCATTGCCTCCTCGAAATTTTTGCTGAAGGATTCTTCAGTCGTTTTGGGTTTATCCAAGATGTATCGGGAGCATGTTGTTTTTTCTGCCGGAGTAGTGTTATATCGGGAGCTTGTCTCTTTTTCTGCCGGTGTAATGTTGTGTAAATCATCATTTCTTGTGATTTCCGGGGTTTCTGTTTCCATGTGTATTTCGGTACACATAATTTCCTCGGAAGAACAGAGTGACTGGAGTGTTTCGGAGAACGGGTTCTGGCTGTTGTGTGGGGTTACGTTTGTATTGTCTTGTTCGTTGACGTCGGCTGTAGTGAGATCGACATGCGCTACCAGGCAGGGTGCAGAAGTTTCTGCAATTTGTGCAATGGGTATAGCCTTTCCGAATTTGGTGGCTAGTGCACTTTTTCTTTGTCGTGATGAACGTCGGATTTCGGGTGACTTCTGCTCCGGTGTGGCATTTATGTCTATACGTTTTGCGGCCGGTTTATCTGGCGAAGGTGTGTTCTCGTTCACGTCTGTGTCTGATGAAAGGGAAATGGACGTGTCGCATTCGAATTGGTATTTAGATAGGTCATTTTTCGGTTTTTTCTGAGGGCTCATTTTACCAGCTGGTTTTGGGCGTTGTTGAGGTTTGGAGGTTTTTGTTTGTTTTGTTCGTTGAGCGAGCTTTGACTTGTTGTTGAATGTGCTGAGTAATTTCTGTGGTCCTAAGGCCTTTCGGTTTAGTGTTTGTTTTAGGACGTCTTGGGTTGTTTTCGGAGGTGATCGCTTAGGGCTGATTGTACCCTGTGTGTCTGCTGTGGCAGGCGTGGGTTTCGTGGTCTTTTCTCCTGAAACACGTGGTTTTGCACGAGGTAGGTGCTTATATGTCACAAAATCCTTTAGAGCTGCCGGCCTACATTTTCCGTAGACCCTTGGGTCCGGAATAAAAGCTAAACCGTCGTGTCGAACTACCCGGGGTTGTTTACCATCCTCTCTTATCCATGCGGTATGTGGAGAGTAGTTTTGTACCGAACCATTTTCAATAATCTTGAATTGTGCCCCGAATGTGCCCGGGTTTTTAGGTTTTCGTGCGATCGTTCCTGATTTTCGAGCTATCTGTTCTATTCGACGTCCGGTTTTAGGGTCAATGGTGTGCGCGGGACCTTTAAATCGGTCTTTTAAAAATACTAGTGGTAGATTTTGTTTTTCCTGATTAATGAGCAATCTTATCGGTTTGCGCGTTCTTAAAGTTTCAAGATTATTAGATTTTTCCATTAGAAATGATCGTTTGAGTTTTAACGCGTCGTAAGGTTTATTTGAAAGAGGCAAATGCGCACCTATTGGGAATTTCAGGAGCAGTTGCCTGTCGTATTCGTCATCGCTGCTCTGCAGCGTAATTGCGTCCTGTTGGTTACGGGGATCCGGTTGGACTTTGGCGCGTTGCTTTCCTGGGTTTACTTTCGTCGAGGTACCTGTTGCACCCTGCGAGCTGGCTGTAATTCGGGCAGTCTCGTTGTTTTCAGAGTCCACTGGGGTACAAGTCAGTTCCGGTAGGTAGTGTTGATCTTGTTTTTGTGTGCCTAGTCCTCTAGTATTCGTCTCTTTGTAAACTAGATCCAGTTCATCATCGCTGTTATTTTCACGATCCCACATAGCTTCCGCAGAGAGTGCTGGTTTTGTAAGGACTTTCTCATCTAAACATGATAGCTTAGTTTTTTCCCATGAAAGATTTGAAAGTTTCGGTGATGTGCTAATATTCGTTAATGGTGTATTGGGCCGCCTTCCAAAATGAGCCTCAAACGGAGTTATTTTTGTGGTTGCGTTAGGTGTGATACGAAGTGTTTTAATTAGCTCTGCAACGTCAGATGCAAGTTTATATGGTTTATTACTTTTGTAGATTTTCATGATTGATAGTCTTGATTTTAGGGTTCTTATTAGCCGTTCAACCATTCCCATTGCTCAGTGGTCATCCACTGGTGCGAATATTAGCTTGATATTATTAGTTTTACAATATATTAAAAACTTTTTGGCCCGAAAACCTTGTGCCTGATCACATCTGATATTACGGGGTACACCATGATTTACGATATGGTTTTGCATAAATCGAATGATTGTATCAGCCCTGTTATTTGAGACCACTTTTGCGTATGGGAAGCGTGAGAAACGATCTACCCCAACTAAGATATAGACTTCTTTATTATTTTCGTCTGGTAATGGGCCTGCAAAACCCAGTTGGATTTCTTCGTTCGGCTCGACGACCGCGTCCAAAGTCGTATAATGCTTTTTTCCTGATATGACCTTAAGGTTCTTACCTTTTTCGCGGCAGTTTTTGCAATTTTGTGCGGTGGCCACAATATCCCGGTGCAAGTAGGGATACCACACATGCTTTGCGGCTTCGATCATGCCGCCTTGACCTGGATGGGTTAAGTGTAACGCGTCCATCATTGTTGGTCGTAATTGCTTAGGAATAACGACCCTGTCGTCATATAACAAAATGCCGTCCCTGACTGATAATCGATGACGTACATTGTAGAAGTAGGGGCCATAGCACTGTTTCACATTGTCCCATTTTTGTTGCCTGATCATGTTTAATAATGGTGAGAGATTCCGATCACGTCGTGTAGCTGCTGCCAGGAATTCGATGTCCATTACTTTCCTCAGGTTTTTACGAAATAACGGCGTGTCCTCCTCCTCCACTGTGGTTGTTTGGCATTCCGATGTGGTCGTTTCATTTAGGGTGGTTTGGCAGATGGCGTTGACCTTTTCGTTTTCGATCCTTCGAAACGTATAACTCTCCTCCGACGGGATTACCTGATGAGTCACGTCACTAAATATGAGTTCTTGCGGTGGCGGTTTTTATAAATAGTCATTGAATGTGGCGTAATTGATAGGGGGAAACAATAGTTGTGTTTGCGAGCCACTGTGGCATTTTCTCGTGATGGCGTTGACCTTTTCGTTTTCGATCCTTCGAAACGTATAACTCTCCTCCGACGGGATTACCTGATGAGTCACGTCACTAAATGTGAGTTCTTGCGGTGGCGGTTTGTATAAATAGTCATTGAATGTGGCGTAATTGATAGGGGGAAACGATAGTTGTGTTTGCGAGCCGCTGTGGCATTTTCTCGTGATGTGCTTAAAAGGGGGCAAGGCCATTCCTTGTTGTAATTGTCGATTCATTATCGATAGTTTGCTGTTATGGCTGTTTTTCACGTTGTTCGAAGTTGAGTGTGAATTTTGGTTTTGAGAGTGACTGTTTTGTAACAATTGACTATTAACAGTGAATGCAGTTTGTGTGTGAACCGAATTTGAAACTTCACAGTTCTCGTTCCGGTCGAGCTTTCTGGTGCCTAGATTTCCAACTGGATTTTTGTTCAACGCGATGTTTTGATTACTGCTGTCTTGAAATTCTAAGCATGTGACGAAATCGTCGATTAGCGCGACGACAAACTGTTCGTCCCAATATGCGGGGGTTGTGGTTTACCGACTGGATGTCGTGAAATGTAATCTATAAGACCCATTTTACTGCCCGCAAGATGGCGTATGTCGAAATCAAATGGAATGAGCCTATCGATCCATCTAGTTAACCGACTTTGGTAGGTTTTATTACCTCTAATACTTCGTAGAGCACTTACCAATGCGTGGTGATCTGTGATTAAAGTGAACCTTCTACCATAGAGGTAATACTTAAAATGTTCGATAGCCCATACTGCGGCTAATAGCTCGAGCTCGTTAACGGAATATTTTTGTTCACGCGAATTCAAAAACCGCGATGCGTACGCAATGGTTGCCCATCCATCTGGTGTTTCCTGTTCGAGTGCCGCGCCTAGTCCCTCGCGGCTGGCGTCACACACGATCCGCGTTTCTCTGTTGCTTACGAAGTGTCTATTTTCCGTAATATTTTGAACTGCCACTAGAATGTTACGAAACGCTTTTTCATGCTCTTCCTTCCATACAAAGTTAAATTTGTTGGTTGTGGAGAGTAGGGGTCGTAACGGAGTACATAGTTGAGCCAGATTAGGTACAAACTTGTTCAAATGATGAACAGATCCCATAAAACTTTTGAGTTGTTTAAAAGGTTTTGGGTGGTGTAAGTTTACTATAGCATCGGTTTTCTTTTGCATCGGGGTTATTCCATAATTATTAATTACGAAACCTAACCACTCTACTTCTTTGCACCCAAATTTACATTTGTCAACTGAAATGGCCATGTTTTCGGTATCTAACTTGTTAAGGACTCTCGTTAGTTTATCTATGTGTTGTTCTTTGGTGCCGTGAGAAATAATCAGGATATCATCTAAAAATGCAAACGTATCCTTCTCATTATTGAGAGTCAGGTCGATGGCTTTCTGAAACTCCGCGGGCATATCGGTGAATCCGTAAAAACCTGTTTGAAATTGGTAGGTTCCGGTCGCTCTACCCCCAATAATGCTAAAATTACATTGTGATCGTGTTGTTTCGTCGAGTGGCAGTTGACTATGCGCATAACGTAAATCTAGGGTTGAAAAGTACGTGGTCCCCGGTTTATTTGTTCCTTTCTGAGCCGATTGCGCTATATTATCTAACAAAACCTCGATATTTGGCATTTGGTGTTTGTTTTTATGGATAGATTTGTTGATTTGTTTCGAGTCCATTGCCAATTTTATCGATTGATCCTTTTTTACTGTTATTACAATAGGGCTTATAAATTGTTGATCGCTGCATTTGTCCAGACGGTTTATATGCCCTTGGTCAATGAGTGATCGAATTTCATTTTCCACTTTCTCTTGACAACGCCTTGAATTCTTTCAAGAATTTTGTATGGACCATGTGATTCTTTGAACGCCCTATTCGTGTACAGAGACCAGGGTACGTGGTTTTAACCCATTTCGCTATCTGCTTGTCTGAACACTCAATGCTGTTGACATGAAAATTGGACTTACCAACTGGTTTTCTTTCCTGGTGCAGTTTTATTCCGATCTGTGGAAGAAGATTGCGTCCCATGATGTTCGCTCTTCTGTCGTCCACCACTATGAATGAAGCTGTTCGAATTGTCCATCCCCCGGATTCTATAGGAGCGATTAACCTGCCCAGTGACGGGATCTTGTAGCCATTATAACAAACCATTCTGTTTGCCTCATCGTCGTCTGCTATTGATGTTTTCACCGCCGATTTGACAGTAGATGTAAGGAGATTGGCTGTTTTTTCATTCACGAATGATGTTGGAGAACCTGTATCTGCGATAAACACGATATTGTTTGTTCCTGAACGGACCCGAAAGAGAAGACCTTGTAGGTCGTTATCTGTTATGCCTTCTGCTCGTTGTGGTTCGAATTTGATCCAGTTGGTAGATGTGTCATCTGGATGTACCAACTCCCAACCCGGGATTATATTACCAGCTTGGAGATAATCTACGTAGGCGGTCATATCTGTTTCTTGAATATCCTGTTGGTGAGGAATGTTTTCTTGAATGGCGTTTACTCCACTAGACTTGCATAGTCTGGCGAAATGACCCCTTTTTGTACATTTATTACAAATTTTATCTCGTGCCGGACACTGTGCTAAGTGGTTAACTGAGAAAGTGTTACCACACTTGAAGCAATCTTTATTCTGTGTGGGTCTTTCTCCACGACTGCGACCCCCCCGGGATTGTGATTTATAACCACCCCTTCTTTGGACGAAGTTCATCGGTTCTGATTTTATGTTTGGAACTCCGGTGTGGCTATTAGACGATCCTTGCTTTCTGATGTGGACTTGATTCTCGAGGCCTCTTTCCCGTCGTATTGCATAATTCAATGCTTGGTCGGGTGTCAATGTTTCCGCTAGCAGATCTTTTTGAACTTCGTCGTTCGTCATGTTTGCCGTAAACAAGTCTCGTATTATTTCTGATTCGAGTCCCCCATCATTGCATGCGGTACATTTGAAATTACCTTTGACCACGAGTTCTGTAAGTCCACAGTGGAATTCTTTCAGTGTTTCTGTTTTTCCTTGCTTGCGTGTGAAAGCTTCGTATCGGTCGAATGTTACATTTCGTTCTTTCACAAAGAGTCGTGTTAACCTTGCCCAGAAATCTCTGGTTGTTGTTTCTTGTATTCGGAGATCTGGGTAATATTGTGATATTCTTCGTTGGCCTTCGGCTCCTAGACATAGATAAATGTAACTTCTACATTTAATGTCTACCCATGGAACGCCGTCTACAGTAGGGCCTAAACTATCTAATTGTGCACATTGGTTTTCCCATGTTGCTTTCTTCTCTTGATTACGAAGATTCCGGTCACGGATTTGAACATTGGTCTCTCCTTCGATGGGAAGTTCGTATCCAGGTTCCTGAGGTCGTCTAATCGCAGGAGGGTTTCGGAGTAGTTTTGATAAATCTATTCCGTCTTTGGCAATTATACCCAAAAATAACTGCTGATTCCATTTTTCCCACTCAACTGGTGGGCCCGCCGAGGCTTTCTGCCAGAATGGCGAAATTCCTAGGGTTTTTTTGTGATTGCTGGCTGCGCCATGTTATACCCTCAACCACTAGGTGAGGTATAAAGTATGTTATGTAATCAAAGTCTATGCTGAACGCTAACTAAGAATAGAGAAATAGAGAGATTAAGAGAACAACTTAATTTCAACTCTCTATGTTTAAGTCTGGCTGACTCTGACCTCGAATCGCTTGAGAGACAGAGTTTCATAATAACTAGTACATATGTCAATACGTATAAATAGGTACTTATTTAATCATCAGACTTCTATATGTGTTGCTTAATCAGTTATGTTTATAATATGGAATCATTACCAACTGGTAGTTTTAGCACCAACATGTAGATCATTACTAAAGGATGTTTTCTATAATATCCGTACGGATAACAGCTCCGTTCTGCAATAGTTTTAAGGTAGGGTGAAGTATGCAGTAACAAGTAGGAAATTGCATCAGTTGTTAGTTCAGGAAGTTGCTTTTTACAGTAACTGTATCAACTACTATTCCAGGTGCGGTGTTGGAATAGACATCACAATCGATATCATGTTTCGTCTTTCAGGACTTCTTCAAAGGCCGAGTGACTGACGTGTTCTTCGTCCCCGTCAGCATCAGCTACGAACGACTGTTCGAAGAGTCGCTCTATGCGTTCGAATTGGCCACTGGACTTCCTAAGCCAAAAGAGTCTACATCCGGAATGCTGAAAGCGAGAAAGGTTCTGGACGAAAACTTTGGAAATATTTACATCAACTTCGGTCAGCCCTTCTCACTGCGAGAGGCAGCGTACAATCGAGTGGACAGATCGCGGTTTGCGTGTACACCACTGTTTGATCAGTTCGTTTCAGAGGAGAGCGAACTCTTTGTACAGGAACTGTCATTGTACGCTATTGCTCGAATACAAGTAAGTCTTCATGCTTTTGCAATTAATACTCATCGCGTTATGTACTTCATTGTTTCATATGCCATTCATGAGCCTCTTATTTGCTGTAGTATTGCCCTGATGATACAAATTTACTATGTATGTGAAATATTTTTTGAAGACTGAAATCTATTTTTAAAGGTGGAAATGTTTTTAGGAGAATATCTACATACAGCCTTGGCATCTGATCGCATCGGTACTCTTCAACTACGCATTCTGCAATCACAACAGAGCCTTGCCAGCCATGTTGCTTGTGGAAAAGGTCAACCAACTATCGAATCTTCTGAAAAATGTCAACTGCAAACAGATCATGACCTCGCACTCTTTAACTGACGTCATCAGTGTTTTGGAGTGTCACCATAAAACAGTTCATTTTTGCACTTTCTCTAAGATGTTTCTGTTAGCTCCTGAAGAGTTGTATTTCACTAAAGAAGGAAAAACCGTTCCCATTATTCCAGTACAACTTCTGATGTATCAGAATATGTTTGTAAACCACTTAGCGCCATTGTTTATTGCTGTCAACATTGTTGAGTGCCAAGGAAGTTTCATTTCGAAACAAGAATTCGACCATAAATGGAAATTGGCTCTTTCGATATTCACTCAGGAATTCGTTGCAATTGAAAATGATCCAATTCAAGTTCTCGAAGTTCTGGAATCGCAGAAAGTTACATTCTACGATACGAGATCTGAAATAATTTCGCTAAATTTGGAGAGTTATAAGTTGAAAAATCTTTTGAACGACGTTGCTCGGCCTTATTTCACTATACTTTATCTTACTGTTGCAAACTTGTATTCTTACAGTCTTGTTTCTCAGAGTATTGGAGAGTATAAATTTGACAGCCTAGCGTCACTTAACTCATCAGTTCGGTCTAAAATCACACAGTGTTATGACTCAGGCAAATTATCTGGAGTAGCCGCTGTTACAACTGCTGCGGTAAATAATGTATTTAACCTTTGCAAATCTAGAAATATAATTGTTACCAAGAAAAAACAAGGAACGACAATCATCCAGGTCGACCAATCAAAATGCTCGAACTTGTTGAATGAAATTCAACAGATTTTCCCCTGCGACCAGTTTATGTTCGCGATGAGTTCTATCAAATCTAAATTGTAAAACTTTGTAATAGTGAATTTTATTGAAAGTTTGTAGATTGAAATAATTTTGTATTGTTTGGAACAAATCGTATAGTCTAGTTGTTTTTTGTTCTATGAAAATTAGCGTTTTAAAAAAGATTTTCCATCATAATGAAATCATGCGAAGATTCTTTGAATGCACAAAAATAGAAGTTGTTAGCTGTACCGACCGAGTGGCATGACGTTTCAGATAGTTCAGGCCATGTCTGATAAATTGCTTAAACCAAATCTCATATGGTCATTTTGTTCACGATGTCATCTTCATCGGCTCCCCCCAATAAACCCTAAAGATTTTGAGCTACCGAAGTTCAAAGACCCTCGAGAATCCGGACTTAAACATGGACTCACCTTAGACGACATTCAACCACCGCCTACCTATGATCATATTGTGCTACCAAAAGACAGGAAGCTGGCATACGTCCCATCGCAGCCTATTTTGGCCAAAGAAGAGAAAACCGGGAAGAGACTGCATGAAATAATAGGAATTGAAACCGACTTGAAGAAGAACACTGTTTTGAGCAAACAATTTGGAATCGTCGCTTTGAGCGGAGGTACAGAAATATACTCTAATTTACAAAGACTCGGCAAAGTTAGCTCGAATAGAGTGAATAAAAAAGGATGTAAACGGATCAAGCATCTACCAACGAGTTCTAGTATATGGATTTGAAAGCTTAAAAAGAAAAAAACTTGTAGTTTATGAATTTCCTATTTTTAGGTAATTTTCTACACGAGAATTTCGAGCACGTACGAAATTCTGTGAACTCTCAGATCGAAGACAACATGTACGCTCAATAAAAGCTAAACCGTCGTGTCGAACTACCCGGGGTTGTTTACCATCCTCTCTTATCCATGCGGTATGTGGAGAGTAGTTTTGTACCGAACCATTTTCAATAATCTTGAATTGTGCCCCGAATGTGCCCGGGTTTTTAGGTTTTCGTGCGATCGTTCCTGATTTTCGAGCTATCTGTTCTATTCGACGTCCGGTTTTAGGGTCAATGGTGTGCGCGGGACCTTTAAATCGGTCTTTTAAAAATACTAGTGGTAGATTTTGTTTTTCCTGATTAATGAGCAATCTTATCGGTTTGCGCGTTCTTAAAGTTTCAAGATTATTAGATTTTTCCATTAGAAATGATCGTTTGAGTTTTAACGCGTCGTAAGGTTTATTTGAAAGAGGCAAATGCGCACCTATTGGGAATTTCAGGAGCAGTTGCCTGTCGTATTCGTCATCGCTGCTCTGCAGCGTAATTGCGTCCTGTTGGTTACGGGGATCCGGTTGGACTTTGGCGCGTTGCTTTCCTGGGTTTACTTTCGTCGAGGTACCTGTTGCACCCTGCGAGCTGGCTGTAATTCGGGCAGTCTCGTTGTTTTCAGAGTCCACTGGGGTACAAGTCAGTTCCGGTAGGTAGTGTTGATCTTGTTTTTGTGTGCCTAGTCCTCTAGTATTCGTCTCTTTGTAAACTAGATCCAGTTCATCATCGCTGTTATTTTCACGATCCCACATAGCTTCCGCAGAGAGTGCTGGTTTTGTAAGGACTTTCTCATCTAAACATGATAGCTTAGTTTTTTCCCATGAAAGATTTGAGAGTTTCGGTGATGTGCTAATATTCGTTAATGGTGTATTGGGCCGCCTTCCAAAATGAGCCTCAAACGGAGTTATTTTTGTGGTTGCGTTAGGTGTGATACGAAGTGTTTTAATTAGCTCTGCAACGTCAGATGCAAGTTTATATGGTTTATTACTTTTGTAGATTTTCATGATTGATAGTCTTGATTTTAGGGTTCTTATTAGCCGTTCAACCATTCCCATTGCTCAGTGGTCATCCACTGGTGCGAATATTAGCTTGATATTATTAGTTTTACAATATATTAAAAACTTTTTGGCCCGAAAACCTTGTGCCTGATCACATCTGATATTACGGGGTACACCATGATTTACGATATGGTTTTGCATAAATCGAATGATTGTATCAGCCCTGTTATTTGAGACCACTTTTGCGTATGGGAAGCGTGAGAAACGATCTACCCCAACTAAGATATAGACTTCTTTATTATTTTTGTCTGGTAATGGGCCTGCAAAACCCAGTTGGATTTCTTCGTTCGGCTCGACGACCGCGTCCAAAGTCGTATAATGCTTTTTTCCTGATATGACCTTAAGGTTCTTACCTTTTTCGCGGCAGTTTTTGCAATTTTGTGCGGTGGCCACAATATCCCGGTGCAAGTAGGGATACCACACATGCTTTGCGGCTTCGATCATGCCGCCTTGACCTGGATGGGTTAAGTGTAACGCGTCCATCATTGTTGGTCGTAATTGCTTAGGAATAACGACCCTGTCGTCATATAACAAAATGCCGTCCCTGACTGATAATCGATGACGTACATTGTAGAAGTAGGGGCCATAGCACTGTTTCACATTGTCCCATTTTTGTTGCCTGATCATGTTTAATAATGGTGAGAGATTCCGATCACGTCGTGTAGCTGCTGCCAGGAATTCGATGTCCATTACTTTCCTCAGGTTTTTACGAAATAACGGCGTGTCCTCCTCCTCCACTGTGGTTGTTTGGCATTCCGATGTGGTCGTTTCATTTAGGGTGGTTTGGCAGATGGCGTTGACCTTTTCGTTTTCGATCCTTCGAAACGTATAACTCTCCTCCGACGGGATTACCTGATGAGTCACGTCACTAAATATGAGTTCTTGCGGTGGCGGTTTTTATAAATAGTCATTGAATGTGGCGTAATTGATAGGGGGAAACAATAGTTGTGTTTGCGAGCCACTGTGGCATTTTCTCGTGATGGCGTTGACCTTTTCGTTTTCGATCCTTCGAAACGTATAACTCTCCTCCGACGGGATTACCTGATGAGTCACGTCACTAAATGTGAGTTCTTGCGGTGGCGGTTTGTATAAATAGTCATTGAATGTGGCGTAATTGATAGGGGGAAACGATAGTTGTGTTTGCGAGCCGCTGTGGCATTTTCTCGTGATGTGCTTAAAAGGGGGCAAGGCCATTCCTTGTTGTAATTGTCGATTCATTATCGATAGTTTGCTGTTATGGCTGTTTTTCACGTTGTTCGAAGTTGAGTGTGAATTTTGGTTTTGAGAGTGACTGTTTTGTAACAATTGACTATTAACAGTGAATGCAGTTTGTGTGTGAACCGAATTTGAAACTTCACAGTTCTCGTTCCGGTCGAGCTTTCTGGTGCCTAGATTTCCAACTGGATTTTTGTTCAACGCGATGTTTTGATTACTGCTGTCTTGAAATTCTAAGCATGTGACGAAATCGTCGATTAGCGCGACGACAAACTGTTCGTCCCAATATGCGGGGGTTGTGGTTTACCGACTGGATGTCGTGAAATGTAATCTATAAGACCCATTTTACTGCCCGCAAGATGGCGTATGTCGAAATCAAATGGAATGAGCCTATCGATCCATCTAGTTAACCGACTTTGGTAGGTTTTATTACCTCTAATACTTCGTAGAGCACTTACCAATGCGTGGTGATCTGTGATTAAAGTGAACCTTCTACCATAGAGGTAATACTTAAAATGTTCGATAGCCCATACTGCGGCTAATAGCTCGAGCTCGTTAACGGAATATTTTTGTTCACGCGAATTCAAAAACCGCGATGCGTACGCAATGGTTGCCCATCCATCTGGTGTTTCCTGTTCGAGTGCCGCGCCTAGTCCCTCGCGGCTGGCGTCACACACGATCCGCGTTTCTCTGTTGCTTACGAAGTGTCTATTTTCCGTAATATTTTGAACTGCCACTAGAATGTTACGAAACGCTTTTTCATGCTCTTCCTTCCATACAAAGTTAAATTTGTTGGTTGTGGAGAGTAGGGGTCGTAACGGAGTACATAGTTGAGCCAGATTAGGTACAGAGTCAAATGATCATTGAGTCAAATGATGAACAGATCCCATAAAACTTTTGAGTTGTTTAAAAGGTTTTGGGTGGTGTAAGTTTACTATAGCATCGGTTTTCTTTTGCATCGGGGTTATTCCATAATTATTAATTACGAAACCTAACCACTCTACTTCTTTGCACCCAAATTTACATTTGTCAACTGAAATGGCCATGTTTTCGGTATCTAACTTGTTAAGGACTCTCGTTAGTTTATCTATGTGTTGTTCTTTGGTGCCGTGAGAAATAATCAGGATATCATCTAAAAATGCAAACGTATCCTTCTCATTATTGAGAGTCAGGTCGATGGCTTTCTGAAACTCCGCGGGCATATCGGTGAATCCGTAAAAACCTGTTTGAAATTGGTAGGTTCCGGTCGCTCTACCCCCAATAATGCTAAAATTACATTGTGATCGTGTTGTTTCGTCGAGTGGCAGTTGACTATGCGCATAACGTAAATCTAGGGTTGAAAAGTACGTGGTCCCCGGTTTATTTGTTCCTTTCTGAGCCGATTGCGCTATATTATCTAACAAAACCTCGATATTTGGCATTTGGTGTTTGTTTTTATGGATAGATTTGTTGATTTGTTTCGAGTCCATTGCCAATTTTATCGATTGATCCTTTTTTACTGTTATTACAATAGGGCTTATAAATTGTTGATCGCTGCATTTGTCCAGACGGTTTATATGTCCTTGGTCAATGAGTGATCGAATTTCATTTTCCACTTTCTCTTGACAACGCCTTGAATTCTTTCAAGAATTTTGTATGGACCATGTGATTCTTTGAACGCCCTATTCGTGTACAGAGACCAGGGTACGTGGTTTTAACCCATTTCGCTATCTGCTTGTCTGAACACTCAATGCTGTTGACATGAAAATTGGACTTACCAACTGGTTTTCTTTCCTGGTGCAGTTTTATTCCGATCTGTGGAAGAAGATTGCGTCCCATGATGTTCGCTCTTCTGTCGTCCACCACTATGAATGAAGCTGTTCGAATTGTCCATCCCCCGGATTCTATAGGAGCGATTAACCTGCCCAGTGACGGGATCTTGTAGCCATTATAACAAACCATTCTGTTTGCCTCATCGTCGTCTGCTATTGATGTTTTCACCGCCGATTTGACAGTAGATGTAAGGAGATTGGCTGTTTTTTCATTCACGAATGATGTTGGAGAACCTGTATCTGCGATAAACACGATATTGTTTGTTCCTGAACGGACCCGAAAGAGAAGACCTTGTAGGTCGTTATCTGTTATGCCTTCTGCTCGTTGTGGTTCGAATTTGATCCAGTTGGTAGATGTGTCATCTGGATGTACCAACTCCCAACCCGGGATTATATTACCAGCTTGGAGATAATCTACGTAGGCGGTCATATCTGTTTCTTGAATATCCTGTTGGTGAGGAATGTTTTCTTGAATGGCGTTTACTCCACTAGACTTGCATAGTCTGGCGAAATGACCCCTTTTTGTACATTTATTACAAATTTTATCTCGTGCCGGACACTGTGCTAAGTGGTTAACTGAGAAAGTGTTACCACACTTGAAGCAATCTTTATTCTGTGTGGGTCTTTCTCCACGACTGCGACCCCCCCCCGGGATTGTGATTTATAACCACCCCTTCTTTGGACGAAGTTCATCGGTTCTGATTTTATGTTTGGAACTCCGGTGTGGCTATTAGACGATCCTTGCTTTCTGATGTGGACTTGATTCTCGAGGCCTCTTTCCCGTCGTATTGCATAATTCAATGCTTGGTCGGGTGTCAATGTTTCCGCTAGCAGATCTTTTTGAACTTCGTCGTTCGTCATGTTTGCCGTAAACAAGTCTCGTATTATTTCTGATTCGAGTCCCCCATCATTGCATGCGGTACATTTGAAATTACCTTTGACCACGAGTTCTGTAAGTCCACAGTGGAATTCTTTCAGTGTTTCTGTTTTTCCTTGCTTGCGTGTGAAAGCTTCGTATCGGTCGAATGTTACATTTCGTTCTTTCACAAAGAGTCGTGTTAACCTTGCCCAGAAATCTCTGGTTGTTGTTTCTTGTATTCGGAGATCTGGGTAATATTGTGATATTCTTCGTTGGCCTTCGGCTCCTAGACATAGATAAATGTAACTTCTACATTTAATGTCTACCCATGGAACGCCGTCTACAGTAGGGCCTAAACTATCTAATTGTGCACATTGGTTTTCCCATGTTGCTTTCTTCTCTTCATTACGAAGATTCCGGTCACGGATTTGAACATTGGTCTCTCCTTCGATGGGAAGTTCGTATCCAGGTTCCTGAGGTCGTCTAATCGCAGGAGGGTTTCGGAGTAGTTTTGATAAATCTATTCCGTCTTTGGCAATTATACCCAAAAATAACTGCTGATTCCATTTTTCCCACTCAACTGGTGGGCCCGCCGAGGCTTTCTGCCAGAATGGCGAAATTCCTAGGGTTTTTTTTGTGATTGCTGGCTGCGCCATGTTATACCCTCAACCACTAGGTGAGGTATAAAGTATGTTATGTAATCAAAGTCTATGCTGAACGCTAACTAAGAATAGAGAAATAGAGAGATTAAGAGAACAACTTAATTTCAACTCTCTATGTTTAAGTCTGGCTGACTCTGACCTCGAATCGCTTGAGAGACAGAGTTTCATAATAACTAGTACATATGTCAATACGTATAAATAGGTACTTATTTAATCATCAGACTTCTATATGTGTTGCTTAATCAGTTATGTTTATAATATGGAATCATTACCAACTGGTAGTTTTAGCACCAACATGTAGATCATTACTAAAGGATGTTTTCTATAATATCCGTACGGATAACAGCTCCGTTCTGCAATAGTTTTAAGGTAGGGTGAAGTATGCAGTAACAAGTAGGAAATTGCATCAGTTGTTAGTTCAGGAAGTTGCTTTTTACAGTAACTGTATCAACTACTATTCCAGGTGCGGTGTTGGAATAGACATCACAATCGATATCATGTTTCGTCTTTCAGGACTTCTTCAAAGGCCGAGTGACTGACGTGTTCTTCGTCCCCGTCAGCATCAGCTACGAACGACTGTTCGAAGAGTCGCTCTATGCGTTCGAATTGGCCACTGGACTTCCTAAGCCAAAAGAGTCTACATCCGGAATGCTGAAAGCGAGAAAGGTTCTGGACGAAAACTTTGGAAATATTTACATCAACTTCGGTCAGCCCTTCTCACTGCGAGAGGCAGCGTACAATCGAGTGGACAGATCGCGGTTTGCGTGTACACCACTGTTTGATCAGTTCGTTTCAGAGGAGAGCGAACTCTTTGTACAGGAACTGTCATTGTACGCTATTGCTCGAATACAAGTAAGTCTTCATGCTTTTGCAATTAATACTCATCGCGTTATGTACTTCATTGTTTCATATGCCATTCATGAGCCTCTTATTTGCTGTAGTATTGCCCTGATGATACAAATTTACTATGTATGTGAAATATTTTTTGAAGACTGAAATCTATTTTTAAAGGTGGAAATGTTTTTAGGAGAATATCTACATACAGCCTTGGCATCTGATCGCATCGGTACTCTTCAACTACGCATTCTGCAATCACAACAGAGCCTTGCCAGCCATGTTGCTTGTGGAAAAGGTCAACCAACTATCGAATCTTCTGAAAAATGTCAACTGCAAACAGATCATGACCTCGCACTCTTTAACTGACGTCATCAGTGTTTTGGAGTGTCACCATAAAACAGTTCATTTTTGCACTTTCTCTAAGATGTTTCTGTTAGCTCCTGAAGAGTTGTATTTCACTAAAGAAGGAAAAACCGTTCCCATTATTCCAGTACAACTTCTGATGTATCAGAATATGTTTGTAAACCACTTAGCGCCATTGTTTATTGCTGTCAACATTGTTGAGTGCCAAGGAAGTTTCATTTCGAAACAAGAATTCGACCATAAATGGAAATTGGCTCTTTCGATATTCACTCAGGAATTCGTTGCAATTGAAAATGATCCAATTCAAGTTCTCGAAGTTCTGGAATCGCAGAAAGTTACATTCTACGATACGAGATCTGAAATAATTTCGCTAAATTTGGAGAGTTATAAGTTGAAAAATCTTTTGAACGACGTTGCTCGGCCTTATTTCACTATACTTTATCTTACTGTTGCAAACTTGTATTCTTACAGTCTTGTTTCTCAGAGTATTGGAGAGTATAAATTTGACAGCCTAGCGTCACTTAACTCATCAGTTCGGTCTAAAATCACACAGTGTTATGACTCAGGCAAATTATCTGGAGTAGCCGCTGTTACAACTGCTGCGGTAAATAATGTATTTAACCTTTGCAAATCTAGAAATATAATTGTTACCAAGAAAAAACAAGGAACGACAATCATCCAGGTCGACCAATCAAAATGCTCGAACTTGTTGAATGAAATTCAACAGATTTTCCCCTGCGACCAGTTTATGTTCGCGATGAGTTCTATCAAATCTAAATTGTAAAACTTTGTAATAGTGAATTTTATTGAAAGTTTGTAGATTGAAATAATTTTGTATTGTTTGGAACAAATCGTATAGTCTAGTTGTTTTTTGTTCTATGAAAATTAGCGTTTTAAAAAAGATTTTCCATCATAATGAAATCATGCGAAGATTCTTTGAATGCACAAAAATAGAAGTTGTTAGCTGTACCGACCGAGTGGCATGACGTTTCAGATAGTTCAGACCATGTCTGATAAATTGCTTAAACCAAATCTCATATGGTCATTTTGTTCACGATGTCATCTTCATCGGCTCCCCCCAATAAACCCTAAAGATTTTGAGCTCCCGAAGTTCAAAGACCCTCGAGAATCCGGACTTAAACATGGACTCACCTTAGACGACATTCAACCACCGCCTACCTATGATTATATTGTGCTACCAAAAGACAGGAAGCTGGCATACGTCCCATCGCAGCCTATTTTGGCCAAAGAAGAGAAAACCGGGAAGAGGCTGCATGAAATAATAGGAGTTGAAACCGACTTGAAGAAGAACACTGTTTTGAGCAAACAATTTGGAATCGTCGCTTTGAGCGGAGGTACAGAAATATACTCTTCGTTTTACAAAGACTCGGCAAAGTTAGCTCGAATAGAGTGAATAAAATAAAAAAGGATGTAAACGGATCAAGCATCTACCAACGAGTTCTAGTATATGGATTTGAAAGCTTAAAAAGAAAAAAACTTGTAGTTTATGAATTTCCTATTTTTAGGTAATTTTCTACACGAGAATTTCGAGCACGTACGAAATTCTGTGAACTCTCAGATCGAAGACAACATGTACGCTCAGTGGGTTATTCCGCCGCCATGGAAACCGGTCACTAAAAAGTCGCAAGGAGCGAGAATGGGTGCGGGCAAGGGCGATATTCATCATTACGTCACACCTGTTAAAAAGTTCAATGTTATTTTTGTGATTGGAGGCAAGTTCCAATACGTGTACATCAAAAAATGGATCGAAGCACTCGCTAGAACTATGCCTGGTAAGTTTGCTTTAACGAAGTTTATTTTTAGTTTTAAGAGCTAATCTTTTTGAATTCAAACTGGACTGGATTGAAGGTGAGAAAATTATCGATTGAATATTTCATATCTTGGTTTTAAAACGGGACATGGTGATTAATAAAACATTGTAGAATGGCTCTGAAAGAGGAAGCGACTGTATTTGAAGATAGTACGGTTCAAAAGTCAGTATGGCGCTTCATGAAGAGTACTATGGCGCCTGTTTTCGTTGCTTAATTAGCTTGATATTTAAGAGGATTCATAATTGGGCTCCTTTGGGTTTCAGTTCCCGCATTGGCTGTTTCTTACGAACAACTAGAAGCCATGAAAGAAGAATATTTTAGCTCAAAACAGCCGGAAGGGAATCCATTCACGGCCAAAAATATAGTAGACTACAACATCGGAGGACTCAGGACAAACCGATTTGGACCTCTTCAAATCAAACACCATCTTGAGTTCTCATGATTGAAAATAAATGAAATTTGAGCTGAATTGAATATCTTAAATAATGGCTAAGGTAATTTCACTATGCAGAAAACCATAATGAAAAATTGGTTGTCTGCGCCAATGGGATTATTTTCGATATTTGAGCTCAAAAGCGATTGAATGAAATATTTGATTCAATGCCTTCGAGACATAACAAAGCTTTCAGATGCTTGATTTTCTCCTGCTTATGTTTTTTATGTTTCGTTTCACGTGTTTCAGTTGCGCTATGGCATTCTTTTTGCGTAGTGGGCCATACCCGAGATCAGTGGTAGAGGTTATAATCAACTTAGTTTTATTTGCCATGGTCGTCATTTCGTGGACATATGCAATTTATGGAGGCAGGTACTTGTCCAAGTTGGTCAAGGAGAATGGAGGCGAACCATTGACAAAAAATTTCATTTCCGATGAACTTTGAAATTCAACAAAACTTAATTCTAGTCTTCTGTCAGCTGAATTCCTGCGGAATTTCGAAATTTTTTAAACTATGAACTGTATATGATAGTTTTCGATTGTTCAATAGTAGTTAATATATGTATGCTCTATGTTTATGTAAATATGTAAATATAAGGAAACGTTAATTTAGTCTTTGATCTGCAAAGTTCGATTTTCAGTCTTCGATATTTTTGCTACTTATTAAGCAGAAGCTTTCTCTCAGCCCGCTCTAGATAGAATCGATTTAATTTAGAGAAGGTACATGATTTAATCCTGTTTGAGCATCTCTTTTTCTCCAAGGCAACTGCAATCTGATTTTTTTAAAATTATTTTAACACGCCCAATTGCAATACTAAACAATATTTTACACTTGCGAAAGTAAGTGTCTTGTAATCGGGAACTAGGCTTTTTTCCATAAGCAACTTTTCGTACCTCAGAAGTTTAAATTGAACTTACTTTATTGGTGAACCTAAGCAACTTCGAGACTGCTTCCCATTTCATTGGCAAAAATGATTGATTAAAAAATCATTCAATGAGTGGCTTAGAGCGGCTGTTTTTGGCTCAACGAACGCGGTTTAGTGGCCACTCGTTGAAAAATTAAAGATTTCTGCTGTTTGTTCCTGGACTATTTTTCTCAAATTTTTCACTTTTCGCAAAATATATATATTTTTTATTTGCAAGTGATGGCAAGCTCTGCTTCGCCTCTGTGTAAAAAATGTTATGTTTTATACACCGAATGGCTTCAGTTTTCATGCTAATTTTGAATATCATTGCAATTTTAGCTTTGCATCTAATGAATGTAAGTGTTTCAGCAGTTCTAAGTTGCTGTAATTTTCTTTGAATAACCTTGACATGATTGGGATACGGCTTGCTGTATTATTATCAAGGTTATTCCGATGATTGTACTGCAATACAGAACGGTTCAAACATTTTCTTTCATTAGATAAAAAGCTAAAAACGCATTGAAATTCAAAATGCAACGAGCAGATTTCGCTGGGAGGTAAATTGTAAGATTTTTTTTTGTAACGAAAGCATTTTAAACTAGGTATCACCTAAGGAAACTGCATTGCTCTCTATCTGCAAGTGAATTAATATTTCAAGCATCCATTGATCTACTGAGCGAAGATTGATGTTTGAAATATTAAAAGAGCGTTGATGATTTTATCATCCGTTGGCAAACAACACATGATCGTGTTTTCATACTCAAGCATCAGCTTAGAGTAATGTTAAGAGCCTTCTTTCTTTTCTAACCTAACTCGCAAATAAAAGTGCTCATCAAAAGTGTTCATTTATTTGGAATTTTCACCCTAGCATTGAGAATTGGATAGCATCTGTTCTCTGCTTTAATTGTGACTAGTGTTTAGATTTTACCTATTAAGCTCCCAAGGCTGAGTGGTTAGGGTGTGAGACTCTCAATCTCTTGCTCGCAGCAGTTTCGAATCTCGGACGTAGCCTCATTTTTTGCTAATTCGAGGCTTATTTATGCCTTTTATTCCAATTTATAGAGCTGCTTTTTTGTCGTGTTATCGCTAGTGTTGGCGAAACGAAGCTTCGCCTCTGTTTAAATTTTTTGTTGCCAGATTCAAACATAATACAACATATCGGCCCAATCAAAGTCAGTTTATTTCGATTTCTGTCTGTATTTGTTGTGCAAGCGTCTCCAGCAGTTTGAGCCGTTAAAGAGTTTCGAATCTGTAGATATGGAGGTCGATTTGGAGTGGTGTCAGTTATTTTGGGTGATATTTACCAAAAATCTTAAATCAGCTCAACGGCAAAGATTTTTTCGTTTCTGTACAGCATTGCCTCAGCAGTTTTTGAAAAAATCAAATGAAGTGTTTTATGATGTATGCTGCGAGTTATAGTTTTGCAACTAATGTTCTATCTCTTCTAACAGCCATATTTGTAAACAGAATGGACTTCTATTTAAGTTGTTTGTTCCTTTCTCAGGGAAAAAAATTGATGTATTTTGAAGTGGCTTAATTTGCTGTTCAATTTAGTACATAAGTCTAATGCTCCGATTCTGTATAGGGTGCAATTTGATTGCATGTAAGTTAGTCTATTTCCTAAAGCACATCAATTGCTGCCTGTTATTCACCAATAAAGGATGTGTTAACTACATACGACAGCAAGGCGCATGTGTCAGTAGAGGAGAAAAAATGACGAGTAATCTATAGGTCTGATTCGCATCCCGGAGTCAGCCAGTTTTTTTATTTATCAAAGCTTATCTTTCAATGCCTCTGAGTTGATTAGCAGTTTTCTAACTGTCTGCTGGCAACGATTTTACATGACTTCACTTAAGCTTGAACTTTGAAAGAGCCATTTTGAAGGAGAACGCGAGCAAAGAAAACTCTATTTTTTGGTGAAAACTCTCCAAACAGTGCCCAAAAACGGCATTTTGGCATATTCTTCCTAAATTATGCCTGCGGCGCTGAAAATTTTATCAGAATAAGGTCTTGCGAGTGTTAATAGAAGTGCTCGGAAAATAAATTTGGTCTAACTAAACAAAAAATCCGCCCATCTCGAAAATTCTATACCCACGCCTGGTAGAAGTATCAATTATAACCTTACAAACGGCAGAAGACTTTTAAAACTTCATCATAAGATGAGGCGTCAATGAGAATTTGGAACTTTTCTGAGAATCAATATCAATCAGCTTTGCCTCTGCTTTTCAATTGATCCTTTGAAAGTGAAAACCTTAAGTCGATAGACATTAAATTGAAAATTCTCCCATTTTTGCTGTTTTGATTTTGCTATTTGTTAACACTTGCAAGGAGCAAGTTCTCAAATTGTAGCGCAGACTTTTTTCAGGTTAACAACTTGCCCAACAGAATCATTGAATCATTTGATAAATCGATTTGAAATAAATTCCAATGCAGCGTTTGTTTTTGCTCCTTTGGCTCAGGTAACGTCGATGCTTGGGATGATAGTGGTCCGGTTATTGAATCCAACCAGGATCTGTTTTTTTTTGCCACTACAGACTATGTACTTGAAAAAATAATTGTTTGACTACCGTTTGCCTGCTCATTTTCGTCGGCTTAGTTGCCTTAGCACAAACTTTTCTTGTAATTTGAGCTTCTTTCACTATAATTGCGCTAACAATCAGCAAGCGATGTCAAATCGGAATGTATACTGTTTTCCAGGCAAACAATTTGTCTAACAGAATAACTAAATCATCTATTAGCTTGATTCATAGATAATTTGTATTCTGAGTCGGATGCTCTACTTTTAGCTTTGAATTAACATCCGTGCCAATTATTGGCGTAATTGCCGCAACGCAAACTTTGCTAATGGTATTAGCAATTTCCACTAAAGTTGAAAATCTTTTTGATATATTCAAATAATGCTGCATGTAGTTGAGTTGGAAGAATTTTGGCTGGATTTTATTTTTGAAAAAAAAAAAATTATTTAGTTTTAGGACGCTGTATGAAGAACGTCTGTTCATTCTGCCCTTTGGAAGGAGTCTTATCTTTAATTTATTGAAAATATGATGTTGATACGATTGGAAACATTTGATGAAAAAACGAGTTTCCCGCGTTTCACAAATTATTTCTTTGCTTTGTTCGAAAATGTAAAATGGGATTTCATGAAAAGGCGCTACAGAGTGACATTATTGTGCCTACTCTTAAAATACTTGAAAATTTGAAAAAAAAAGCGACAAAGATGTGGTTTTGTTACAGTTAATTTTTTTACGCCTGAGTACTGGCATGTATTTATCTGTCGCAAGTGGAGTGAAGCTTCGCTTTGCCACTGTGGTGAAAATCCTTCTGATGTACTTCTGTAATGATGCAGGTAATGTCGGTCGTGATAATAAGGTAAATCTAAAAGTTAGTCACGCTCAAATTTCAAATTTTGTCCGACAATAAAGCAGCTGGTAGACGCCCAGGTTGACAAAACGCTATTGCAACCTTAAAACGTTAACTTCGAGTTTTAATTTAGATGTTGTCAAGATGAAAGATGAAGTTGCCTTATAAGTAGTTCTGTTTGGGTCTTTTTCGATCATTGAATCGTTCAAACTAAACAAAGTGGAATCGCTTTCTGAAGTGCATTTGCTTTGCGAGTCGTCGAAGCTCTTGATTCCACAGAACATGCAAGTTGAAGCAGGGTTCAGCGAAATGAAGACTGCTGAGAGTCTGCAACAGAGTCATTTCTCATCAGAAACTTACAATGGTGTTAGACTGGCAAGAAGCTTCTTCTCGCGTTCATGTTCTGAAGATATAGAGTTTTCAGCCGAGTCGTCGTCGTTCATGACGAAAGCTGCAGAGAGTTACGTGAAGAAGGCGAAAATTGCCTCTGAGTCAAGTCGTATCCAACATGAGATTGCAGCCGGTGCTCGTGAACCACAGGGAGTGTTCAAAAGGCATACGCCTGGTGTGCTCAACAAGAAAATCACTGAAACCGACAAGGAGTTCAAAAAAGCTCAAAAACTGGTCGAAGAGCTCCAGAAAAAGAAAGCTAAATTGGAACTAGAGAAAACAGCTGTTGTTGAACATGCCGATGCTATATCTGCAAATGTGATAAATAAACTGAGTTTTTGTTTTTCTTAAGAGAGAGACTCTGAAAATGGTAGGTCACGTTTTTCTCTGACCGATTTGAGCAGCCTGATACCCGGCTTGTACCGAAATATTATTTATACCGGTTTTACTTGTATAATGATATCTTTTGATGATCAAAGTCATTTGCTTACGTAAAAGCTAGTTAAATCAGCTGATTGCAAAATTGGAAATGGCGCGACAATATATGATTGTATTTTAGATTCACACTTGTTATAATCCACGTATTTGAAGTATGATTTTATCTGATTGCAAAAATTTCATTAAAAATTGACTTTTCCTGTTTTTCACAAATAATTCTTCAGAAGAGGTTTTACGATTTATGAGTTTGTTTGAGAATGGCTGAATCGTGCAAATAGTTCGAAATTTTCAAGTTATGTAAGAAGTCGCTGTGTTTTAGCCACTGATAAGCTTGAACACTGGCATATATTTTTGTAATCGCAATGAACTATGTTGAAATAACTGTTTTGATTATCTTTTGACATGAACTGAAACGACAAAACAGTGCAAGGATTGCCCACTCACCCTAAATACTACTGGGCAAATACGTTTCAACTACTGGGAAATTTCGCACATTAAAGAAGGAAATGTAAAACGGGACATTTATTCTAATCTGAACAATCTAGCTGCTACGAATTATATTTTTATTATTACGGATTCCATTGGTATTGATTAAGAATATATTCTTGGGTTCATCGAATTAACATCAATTGTCTTGAGTCTTGGGATGCATGTTTGAGCAATTCTTTTAGTAATTACGTTTATTGCGTGATATATGACATAATTGTAGCGTAATAGATGGCTGAATTATTGTGTCACGATTAGTGATGATTGTGCTCTTCGTGGATGCACATTTTGTACATTCCCAAACTGTAAGAAGAAGAGCCATCTGGTTTCTCGTGATAACCGACGGGCATCATGAATTCCTCTTCTCGTCCCCCTACACAGTTGTAGTCTACAGTTGCCTCTGGGTCTTGCCGGGTGAGGAGGTACATCTGGGAATCGTCATAGCAGTAGTCCATAGTCTAAAAACAAAGGGGCTGTAATATAAAAACGGAGTGGAAATAGTCTAAAAAGGTAGTGGCCATAGTTGAAACATAGAGAACAGACAATTGGCGAAGAGTCAATTAACGCAAGGAAACAAAAAATGACCTCTATTAAAAAAACTTCAACGTGCGAATTTCAAGTAAGAAGTATATGGCCTTAAAGCTCTTTGGATTTGAAGAATTATAGTAAAATATTTTGTTTGCAATATAGAATTCATTCACTGGCTCTTTTCCAGTTTCCCCCTTCAAATTAATTTTTGAAAACCTTATTTAACGTTGTCATAATGCAATGAAAGTTGGCATGGTGAACAAATTGACAATTATGAACAGATTTGTTCTTCATACATTACAGCGTAACATCACGCATTTAGCCGTAAAACACGTAAAACAAACATAAAAATCGATATTTTGAAAGGTGGGGGGGGGGAGTGGAAAAGAGCCCATTCACTGAAAACACCGAAAATAAAACAGAACTATTACTAAACTTGACAGCAAATGTTTGTAATGTAATTTCTGCTCAAAAATGAGTTCAACCAATTGGTAGTTTCCAGGAACGAAGTTGTGAAAAACTCATGAATGAAGATTTGTATTTCATATTCAGCCCAGCCCGATGTTGATTTAATATTCAAATGCTGGCATGTTTTTTTCTGGAAAGACATATCGAGAGATTTTAATGTTGGTATGCTTGGTTTTCCACTTTTTTCATTTTTTCGAAGTCTTTTGTTTTTTATGTTTGTGTTGCATCGCAGGTGATACGAAGCTCCGCTTCGCCTCTGTTTTTGTTTTTGAGAGCTCCTTTTTTCTGTGTTTGAGAAGCGTAGCGTTGTTTTTGTGGAGATGTTGTTTTAAGCGTGTGTATGTGAATCAAATTTTTATTTTGGGAAAAATTAGGTTCAATGCTTGTGAATGCTTGGAAAAATAAAAATCAGAGTGAGCATAAGTTTACCGAGTCTTATCATAATCCGACGTCTCTCTAGCTGATTTGTTCGACATCTCGTTCAATCCCGATAGAACACACATAAAATTGCGTTTTTTTCCTAATCAACTCATTTTATACCTTTCGCGACATATGGTCTCCTTCTCGGCCGTGCAACTCCTGAGCGCTCATGTACACAGGGTGTATCATGCTGTCTGAGAACTCCATCGAAGATGTTTCTGGGAAGAGTTTGATGACATCCTCCTCGAATTGTTCGAAGTCCTCCGTGATATCTCCGGTCTCCGCGAAGAAGTGCTCCATTACCATGCACACATGTTCTCCGTCCACGTCTGAAATGAGGACTGATTTTTGAGCTGCAGCCTTGTCAAATTATTTTTTCAGAGAATATATCCGAGTACCAAGTTTGAGTATTTCAATTAAGTATCATGTGAATTGGCTCAGACCAGAATTAGAAACGGTTATTTATGAAGCAAAAAAGCACGTTTTAAATAATGAGATGATTTATTCACATGTACACAGAAAAAAAAGCGGATGTTAATTTTCCCATTATATCTATTACATATTTAAATGCGGGCTTCACTATCTCGCCGTGTTTAAGTTTTTTTTAAGTATTATTATTGCATGCTTAACAAAAGATTTATCTATATCGTATATTAAAATGATTAAGATTTTTTCGATTTTCAAGTTTAAATGCAGTGTTTATTTCACCAAGTTTGAAATTAGCAATCGAATAGTGGGATGCTGTCGGGGCTTCCCCAGGTCTTGCGATGCTGGCCTCCATATATGAATTAGCAAATTCTTTTAGTTTACGAGAAAAGGCAATTTTCGAGGATTTTCAAAAATTTCTAGAAAACTAAATTTTAATAAAATTCCAAAAATTGGAAATTCTCAACCCTATAGTTGAGTGCTGTCAGGATATTCTTAGAGGTTCCGAATCTTGCCGCCAAATCTCACTTCTCATATTATTGTAGATTTCGAGATATGATGTTTTTATGATTTTTTCAAAATTTTTCAAAGAACATAGATTTTAAGAAATTCCATAAGTTTGAAGGTCTCAATCCAGTTGTTGGAAATTGTTAGGGTACTCTCAGGAGTTGCACATCTTGCCTATGAATATACTTTGAAGATCTCAATCCTGTTTTTGGAAACTGTGAGGGTACTCTCAGGGGTTGCTAATTTTGCCTCTGAAAATGACTTCTTAAATCCTTATAGTTTTCGAGATATGACGTTTTTTATGATTTTTCAAAACTTTTCAAAAAACTTACATATAAAAAAACATTCACAAAGTTAGAAGTTTCTATCTCTAAAAGGAGGCTCTGTCAGGGTACTCTCAGGAGTTGTAGTTTTACAGCTATAATCTTTTCTGTGATTTTTTCAAAAAGTTTTCAGAAACCTAACTTTAATTTTTTCTTACAAACTTGAAGTTCCCAAAATTATAGTGGTGCTGTCAGAGTTTTCTCAGCTTCTCAGGAAATGCGAATCTTGCTTCTATATTTTAGTGCTTAAATCTATTTAGTTTTCCAGATTCGACGTGTTATATGATTTCTTGTTAACTTTTCAGAAAACTCAATTTACAAAATAATGAACCCAATTTGAAGTTCCCAACCCTATAGTTGGGTGTTGTCAGAGTACTTTCAAGGATTGCGAAACGTGTCTCCAATTATGACTGATCAAAATTTTGTAAATTTTGAGATATGACGTGTTTTATGATTTCCTTTTTCAAAAAACTCAATTTAAAAATAATTTACGAAAAAATAGCTTAATTTGAAAATCTTTATTCAAACTTTGAATTTTTTAACCCTATAGTTGGTGGCAGTCAGAGTTACTTTGGGGGTTTCGAATCTGGCTTTTAAATATGCCTGCTCAAATCCTGGTAGTTTTCGAGATGTGACATTTTTTCTGGTTTTCAATAAAATATCTTTTTTAGTAAACTTTTTAATTTTCTCGAAATTTGAATTTCCCAAAGCTGTACTTGGGTACCGTAGGAGTACTCTCAGGAGCTACAAATCTTGCGTCCAAATGCGACAGCAAAATTGCTTTTAGTTTTCGAATTTTCACGTTTTAAGTTCATTTTAAATTGTTTCAAAGAACTAAATTATTACTTCAGAAAATTTTATGGTTTTTTCTAGAAAATTTACTTTCGAAGGATGCAGATTTTATTTCCAATACAAGTGGAGTTGTTAAAAGTTCAAAGCACCGGAGGTGAGTTACACGCTAATTTCAATTAATTTTGTGAATTTATACCGTTTTTAATTCAAATTTTTTATCACACTGTCACTTTCCAGCTATCGCGAAGTATTTATTCTGGTCAGCCGCATAACGTAAGGAAACTAAGCAGACTAGATTAGCGTACTACAGAAAGTCAACTCCATCAGCTATGCAGAACCCTATACGAGCTCAAATAAGTTGTCTGAAATTATCAAACGGCAGGTTTACGAAGTCAGCCACCTTCGTCCGCAATTGAGGGCGCAATAAAGAGTTGAGCGTTGAAAAAACCATTGTGAGGTTTTCAATTGCTGATCACAAGCTGCTTGGCGCTACTGCTGATGATGCACTCAAGTAATTGATGAATAATGGCAAACACCAGCCAAATTCTACAAGCCGCAACAAGAATGATAGCTGCTTCGATCTTATCAATCCTTTTGCAACTACGCACATCAATTCTACAAAAATTACGCCAAAATTACCGCAGATGATCAGCTTTCCTCGCTTTAATGACGAATTCTCAGCCTGGTTAAGCTTTATTGGTCAATTTCGATCAACTTTTCATGACAATTAGAAATTGTCACCGGTTCAGAACATGATGTATATCAAGATTTGTTCGACAAGCCATGCTTCTAAGCTTCCAATCACGCAAATGGAAACGACGGAAAAGTAACTACGAAATAGCGCTTCACACGCTAAAGCAGACATTCAAAAATGATCAATTCATCCAGCAAGGGTCCATGATTTTTTTTTTGCAGTTCGAACGGAGATCTTTTCTCAGCTTCGCCAGCTACACTCAGTCTTCAATAAGACTTCGCAAAAAAAATATGGCACTCGAACATATTTTTTTGCTCAAATATCAGTGGACAGCAATTTGTGGAATTTCTTTTCTTTGAAAATTTTGATCCAGACGGCATGGTAAACTGCAAATGATAGTACTCACGCTCTTGACACTCATCGACTCCAGGAATTCTTAGACCACAGAGTCACGTTTTTAGAGGTGATTCAAGGATCACATTCTAGACCTCACATACATGAGCATAAGCAGCAGATGTGCTAAACAGAAAAAAAGGACCTGATAAGAATGGCTTCTCCTTACCACAGAGTAAAATTTAACCTGCTAAAACAGACACCCGATTTGGCTGTGTGAGATTTGCAGATCGATCACACCCGATTTGGCAGATCACCTGATTTGGCAGATCGATCACATCATCAGAACGAAAGAATTTTGTGGCCAGCAATCAGATGTGCCTCAGCTAGTTGTCTGCCTGTCACGAAATCCAGCAGTGTCATTCCTTACCTTTGTGTAAGACATGTCAACTGAAGCATCATACAAATCGACATGTTACTTGTAGCCAACCCAGTCTTCATCTCATAGCCACAATAGATGCTTTTCTAATCAACCGAACTGGAATCCTTACAATTCCTCCCACAGCAATTGTCAAGGGTCGTTCTCAGCACAGTGAAGTTCACCACTTGAAAGCGCTCGATGACAATTGCCCTTAGACTAACGCCATCACTTTACAGGCAATGGACAGGCTTGGTATCAAACCAGCAGAAACTCCGGATTGGAAAACGGTTTTCAACCAGGAGAAGGCTGTCTTTGCCCATTATCGGATGAATTTGATAATTCTACCAAAATCTGGTAACAATTTCTATTTTTTTATCGTGTATAAGAAAACATCGCGGATGACGAGCATCCAAATAAATAAATTACGAATCCGAGACGTCCGGAAAATTAGCTACTAACATTCAGCAGACCCAGGTTTGGACAAGCACAAAAAAATGATCTCTTGTGTGGACATTTTGTCTACACACAATTGTGAATTCGCGGAGTTCAAAGGAAGGCGCTATAGTGTTAACCGACACGAAGCTTGATTGAACAGTCTGAGGTGTTTCTGATATCACAAAAGTGAAAACAATTGCTGCAGTATAGAGCCAACTTCTATGGCAACCAGTCGACAGCATTTGACAGATACTGATAAGTTGAAAAAATTCTTTAATCTTCAATATACCAACAATCATGCAATGAGCTTGAATGCATCCGACATCTCGATCAGGCTAGGGTGGAGAGGCCATGGTGAGATTGCCCATTAGCGAATCACTGGGTAGCTACGAGAAAATCACCCATTATTGGTTGTCCGTCATTGGTCACAAAACGCGCAAAGCTCTCCAGCAATTCATTTCTAGCGAAAAAAATTTAGGCCAAAATCGTGCAGCCAAAAACCAATAAAACGATTTGTTCCGGCAATTTTTGACACTGGCCATATCAAAAAAACCTGTGGTGCGACAAAGATGTGGTTTTGTTACAGTTAATTTTTTTACGCCTGAGTACTGGCATGTATTTATCTGTCGCAAGTGGAGTGAAGCTTCGCTTTGCCACTGTGGTGAAAAGCCTTCTGATGTACTTTTGTAATGATGCAGGTAATGTAGGTCGTGATAATAGCGTAAATCTAAAAGTTAGTCACGCTCAAATTTCAAATTTTGTCCGACAATAAAGCAGCTGGTAGACGCCCAGGTTGACAAAACGCTATTGCAACCTTAAAACGTTAACTTCGAGTTTTAATTTAGATGTTGTCAAGATAAAAGATGAAGTTGCCACATTAGTGGTTCTCTTTGGGTCTTTTTCGATCATTGAATGGTTCGAACAAAACGAAGTGGAATCCTTTTCCGAGGTGTGTTTGCTTTGCGAGTCGTCGCAGCTCTTGATGCCACAGAACATGCAAGTTGAAGCAGGGTTCAGCGAAATGAAGACTACGGAGAGTCTGCAACAGAGTCATTTCTCCCCAGAAACTTACCATGGTGTTAGACTGGCAAGAAGCTTCTTCTCGCGTTCATGTTCTGAAGATATAGAGTTTTCAGCCGATTCGTCGTCCTTCATGTCGAAAGCTGCAGAGAGTTACGTGAAGAAGGCAAAAATTGCCTCTGAGTCAAGTCGTATCCAACATGAGATTTCAGCCGGTGCTTGTGAACCACAGGGAGTGTTCAAAAGGCATACGCTTGGTGTGCTCAACAAGAAAATCACTGATACCGACAAGGAGTTCAAAAAAGCTCAAAATCTGGTCGAAGAGCTCCAGAAAAAGAAAGCTAAATTGTAAGTAGAGAAAACAGCTGTTGTTGAACATGCCGATGCTATATCTGCAAATGTGATAAATAAAATGTTCTGAACAGTCACTTGTTTTTATTTTTCTTAAGAGAGACTCTGAAAATGGTAGGTCACGTTTTTATTTGACCGATTTGAATAACCTGATACCCGGCTTTTGCCGAAATATTATTTATACCGGTTTTACTTGTATAATGATATCTTTTGATGATCAAAGTCATTTGCTTACGTAAAAACTAGTTACATCAGCTGATTGCAAAACTGGAATTGGCGCGACAATATATGATTGTATTTTAGATTCACACTTGTTATAATCCACGTATTTGAAGTATGATTTTATCTGATTGCAAAAATTTCATTAAAAATTGACTTTTCCTGTTTTTCACAAATAATTCTTCAGAAGAGGTTTTACGAATTATGAGTGTGTTGAGAATGGATGAATCGTGCAAATAATTCGAAATGTTGAAATTATGTTAGAAGTCGCTGTTTTTTAGCCATTAATAAGCTTGAACACTGGCATATACTTTTGTATCGCAATGAACTATGTTAAAATAACTGATTTGAGTCTCTTTTGACATGAACTGAAACGGAAAAACAGTGCAAGGATTGCCCACTCACCCTAAATACTACTGGGCAAATACGTTTCAACTACTGGGAAATTTTGCACATTAAAGAAGGAAATGTAAAACGGGACATTTATTCTAATCTGAACAATCTAGCTGCAACGAACTATATTTTTATTATTACGGATTCCATTGGTATTGATTAAGAATATAGTCTTGGGTTCATCGAATTAACATCAATTGTCTTGAGTCTTGGGATGCATGTTTGAGCAATTCGTTTAGTAATTACGTTTATTGCGTGATATATGACATAATTGTAGCGTAATAGATGGCTTAATTATTGGGTCACGATTAGTGATGATTGTGCTCTTCATGGATGCACATTTTGTACATTCCCAAACTGTAAGAAGAAGAGCCATCTGGCTTCTCGTGATAACCGACGGGCATCATAAATTCCTCTTCTCGTCCCCCTACACAGTTGTAGTCTACAGTTGCCTCTCGGTCTTGCCGGGTGAGGAGGTACATCTGGGAATCGTCATAGCAGTAGTCCATAGTCTAAAAACAAAGGAGCTGTAATATAAAAACGGAGTGGAAATAGTCTAAAAAGGTAGTGGCCATAGTTGAAACATAGAGAACAGACAATTGGCGAAGAGTCAATTAACGCAAGGAAACAAAAAATGACTTCTATTAAAAAAACTTCAACGTGCGAATTTCAAGTAAAAAGTATATGGCCTTAAAGCTCTTTGGATTTGAAGAACTATAGTAAAAATATATTGTTGGCAATATAGACTTCATTCACTGAAAACACCGAAAATAAAACAGAACTATAACTACACTTGACTGCAAATTTTTGTAATGTAATTTCTGCTCAAAAATGAGTTCAACCAATTGGTAATTTCCAGGAACGAAGTTGTGAAAAACTCATGAATGAAGATTTGTATTTCATATTCAGCCCACATCGATGCTGATTTGATATTCAAATGCTGGCATGTTTTTTCTGGAAAGGCATCGAGAGATTTCAATTTTGGTATGCTTGGTTTTCCACTTTTTTCATTTTTTCGACGTCTTTTGTTTTTTATGTTTGTGTTGCATCGCAGGTGATACGAAGCTCCGCTTCGCCTCTGTTTTTGTTTTTGAGAGCTCCTTTTTTCTGTGCCTGAGAAGCGTAGCGTTGTTTTTGTGGAGATGTTGTTTTAAGCGTGTGTATGTGAATCAAATTTTTATTTTGGGAAAAATTAGGTTCAATGCTTGTGAATGCTTGGAAAAATAAAAATCAGAGTGAGCATAAGTTTACCGAGTCTTATCATAATCCGACGTCTCTCTAGCTGATTTGTTCGACATCTCGTTCAATCCCGATAGAACACACTTACAATTGCGTTTTTTTCCTAATCAACTCATTTTATACCTTTCGCGACATGTGGTCTCCTTCTCGGCCGTGCAACTCCTGAGCGCTCATGTACACAGGGTGTATCATGCTGTCTGAGAACTCCATCGAAGATGCTTCCGGGAAGAGTTTGATGACATCCTCCTCGAATTGTTCGAAGTCCTCCGTGATATCTCCGGTCTCCGCGAAGAAGTGCTCCATTACCATGCACACATGTTCTCCGTCCACGTCTGAAATGAGGACTGATTTTTGAGCTGCAGCCTTGTCAAATTATTTTTTCAGAGAATATATCCGAGTACCAAGTTTGAGTATTTCAATTAAGTATCATGTGAATTGGCTCAGACCAGAATAAGAAACGGTTATTTATGAAGCAAAAAAGCACGTTTTAAATAATGAGATGATTTATTCACATGTACACAGAAAAAAAAGCGGATGTTAATTTCCCCATTATATCTATTACATATTTAAGTTCGGGCTTCACTATTTCGCCGTGTTTAAGTTTTTTTTTAAGTATTATTATTGCATGCTTAACAAAAGATTTTTTGCACTTTTAAGCTATATCGTATATTAAAATGATTAAGATTTTTTCGATTTTCAAGTTTAAATGCAGTGTTTATTTCACCAAGTTTTAAATTAGCAATCGAATAGTGGGATGCTGTCGGGGCTTCCCCAGGTCTTGCGATTCTGGCTTCCATATATGAATTAGCAAATTCTTTTAGTTTACGAGAAAAGGCAATTTTCGAGGATTTTCAAAAATTTCTAGAAAACTAAATTTTAATAAAATTCCAAAAATTGGAAATTCTCAACCCTATAGTTGAGTGCTGTCAGGATATTCTTAGAGGTTCCGAATCTTGCCGCCAAATCTCACTTCTCATATTATTGTAGATTTCGAGATATGATGTTTTTATGATTTTTTCAAAATTTTTCAAAGAACATAGATTTTAAGAAATTCCAAAAGTTTGAAGGTCTCAATCCAGTTGTTGGAAATTGTTAGGGTACTCTCAGGAGTTGCGCATCTTGCCTATGAATATACTTTGAAGATCTCAATCCTGTTTTTGGAAACTGTGAGGGTACTCTCAGGGGTTGCTAATTTTGCCTCTGAAAATGACTTCTTAAATCCTTATAGTTTTCGAGATATGACGTTTTTTATGATTTTTCAAAACTTTTCAAAAAACTTACATATAAAAAAACATTCACAAAGTTAGAAGTTTCTATCTCTAAAAGGAGGCTTTGTCAGGGTACTCTCAGGAGTTGTAGTTTTACAGCTATAATCTTTTCTGTGATTTTTTCAAAAAGTTTTCAGAAACCTAACTTTAATTTTTTCTTACAAACTTGAAGTTCCCAAAATAATAGTGGTGCTGTCAGAGTTTTCTCAGCTTCTCAGGAAATGCGAATTTTGCTTCTATATTTTAGTGCTTAAATCTATTTAGTTTTCCAGATTCGACGTGTTTTATGATTTCTTGTTAACTTTTCAGAAAACTCAATTTACAAAATAATGAACCCAATTTGAAGTTCCCAACCCTATAGTTGGGTGTTGTCAGAGTACTTTCAAGGATTGCGAAACGTGTCTCCAATTATGACTGATCAAAATTTTGTAAATTTTGAGATATGACGTGTTTTATGATTTCCTTTTTCAAAAAACTCAATTTAAAAATAATTTACGAAAAAATAGCTTAATTTGAAAATCTTTATTCAAACTTTGAATTTTTTAACCCTATAGTTGGTGGCAGTCAGAGTTACTTTGGGGGTTTCGAATCTTGCTTTTAAATATGCCTGCTCAAATCCTGGTAGTTTTCGAGATGTGACATTTTTTCTGGTTTTCAATAAAATATCTTTTTTAGTAAACTTTTTAATTTTCTCGAAACTTGAATTTCCCAAAGCTGTACTTGGGTACCGTAGGAGTACTCTCAAGAGCTAAAAATCTTGCGTCCAAATGCGACGGCAAAATTGCTTTTAGTTTTCGAATTTTCACGTTTTAAGTTCATTTTAAATTGTTTCAAAGAACTAAATTATTACTTCAGAAAATTTGATGGTTTTTTTCTAGAAAATTTACTTTCGAAGGATGCAGATTTTGTTTCCAATACAAGTGGAGTTGTTAAAAGTTGAAAGCACCGGAGGTGCGTTACACGCTAGTTTCAATTAATTTCGTGAATTTATACCGTTTTTAATTCAAAATTTTTATCACACTGTCACTTTCCAGCTATCGCGAAGTATTTATTCTGGTCAGCCGCATAACGTAAGGAAACTAAGCAGACTAGATTAGCGTACTACAGAAAGTCAACTCCATCAGCTATGCAGAACCCTATACGAGCTCAAATAAGTTGTCTGAAATTATCAAACGGCAGGTTTACGAAGTCAGCCACCTTCGTCCGCAATTGAGGGCGCAATAAAGAGTTGAGCGTTGAAAAAACCATTGTGAGGTTTTCAATTGCTGATCACAAGCTGCTTGGCGCTACTGCTGATGATGCACTCAAGTAATTGATGAATAATGGCAAACACCAGCCAAATTCTACAAGCCGCAACAAGAATGATAGCTGCTTCGATCTTATCAATCCTTTTGCAACTACGCACATCAATTCTACAAAAATTACGCCAAAATTACCGCAGATGATCAGCTTTCCTCGCTTTAATGACGAATTCTCAGCCTGGTTAAGCTTTGTTGGTCAATTTCGATCAACTTTTCATGACAATTAGAAATTGTCACCGGTTCAGAACATGATGTATATCAAGATTTGTTCGACAAGCCATGCTTCTAAGCTTCCAATCACGCAAATGGAAACGACGGAAAAGTAACTACGAAATAGCGCTTCACACGCTAAAGCAGACATTCAAAAATGATCAATTCATCCAGCAAGGGTCCATGATTTTTTTTTGCAGTTCGAACGGAGATCTTTTCTCAGCTTCGCCAGCTACACTCAGTCTTCAATAAGACTTCGCAAAAAAAATATGGCACTCGAACATATTTTTTTGCTCAAATATCAGTGGACAGCAATTTGTGGAATTTCTTTTCTTTGAAAATTTTGATCCAGACGGCATGGTAAACTGCAAATGATAGTACTCACGCTCTTGACACTCATCGACTCCAGGAATTCTTAGACCACAGAGTCACGTTTTTAGAGGTGATTCAAGGATCACATTCTAGACCTCACATACGTGAGCATAAGCAGCAGATGTGCTGAACAGAAAAAAAAGGACCTGATAAGAATGGCTTCTCCTTACCACAGAGTAAAATTTAACCTGCTAAAACAGACACCCGATTTGGCTGTGTGAGATTTGCAGATCGATCACACCCGATTTGGCAGATCACCTGATTTGGCAGATCGATCACATCATCAGAACGAAAGAATTTTGTGGCCAGCAATCAGATGTGCCTCAGCTAGTTGTCTGCCTGTCACGAAATCCAGCAGTGTCCTTCCTTACCTTTGTGTAAGACATGTCAACTGAAGCATCATACAAATCGACATGTTACTTGTAGCCAACCCAGTCTTCATCTCATAGCCACAATAGATGCTTTTCTAATCAACCGAACTGGAATCCTTACAATTTCTCCCTCAGCAATTGTCAAGGGTCGTTCTCAGCACAGTGAAGTTCACCACTTGAAAGCGCTCGATGACAATTGCCCTTAGACTAACGCCATCACTTTACAGGCAATGCACAGGCTTGGTATCAAACCAGCAGAAACTCCGGATTCGAAAACGGTTTTCAACCAGGAGAAGGTAAGACTTCGTAAAAAAAATATGGCACTCGAACATATTTTTTTGCTCAAATATCAGTGGACAGCAATTTGTGGAATTTCTTTTCTTTGAAAATTTTGATCCAGACGGCATGGTAAACTGCAAATGATAGTACTCACGCTCTTGACACTCATCGACTCCAGGAACTCTTAGACCACAGAGTCACGTTTTTAGAGGTGATTCAAGGATCACATTCTAGACCTCACATACGTGAGCATAAGCAGCAGATGTGCTAAACAGAAAAAAAAGGACCTGATAAGAATGGCTTCTCCTTACCACAGAGTAAAATTTAACCTGCTAAATTAGACACCCGATTTGGCTGTGTGAGATTTGCAGATCGATCACACCCGATTTGGCAGATCACCTGATTTGGCAGATCGATCACATCATCAGAACGAAAGAATTTTTTGTGGCCAGCAATCAGATGTGCCTCAGCTAGTTGTCTGCCTGTCACGAAATCCAGCAGTGTCCTTCCTTACCTTTGTGTAAGACATGTCAACTGAAGCATCATACAAATCGACATGTTACTTGTAGCCAACCCAGTCTTCATCTCATAGCCACAATAGATGCTTTTCTAATCAACCGAACTGGAATCCTTACAATTCCTCCCACAGCAATTGTCAAGGGTCGTTCTCAGCACAGTGAAGTTCACCACTTGAAAGCGCTCGATGACAATTGCCCTTAGACTAACGCCATCACTTTACAGGCAATGCACAGGCTTGGTATCAAACCAGCAGAAACTCCGGATTGGAAAACGGTTTTCAACCAGGAGAAGGTTGTCTTTGCCCATTGTCGGATGAATTTGATAATTCTACCAAAATCTGGTAACAATTTCTAACTTTTTTTATCGTGTATAAGAAAACATCGCGGATGACGAGCATCCAAATAAATAAATTACGAATCCGAGACGTCCGGAAAACTAGCTACTAACATTCAGCAGACCCAGGTTTGGACAAGCACAAAAAAATGATCTCTTGTGTGGACATTTTGTCTACACACAATTGTGAATTCGCGGAGTTCAAAGGAAGGCGCTATAGTGTTAACCGACAGGAAGCTTGATTGAACAGTCTGAGGTGTTTCTGATATCACAAAAGTGAAAACAATTGCTGCAGTATAGAGCCAACTTCTATGGCAACCAGTCGACAGCATTTGACAGATACTGATAAGTTGAAAAAATTCTTTAATCTTCAATATGCCAACAATCATGCAATGAGCTTGAATGCATCCGACATCTCGATCAGGCTAGGGTGGAGAAGCCATGGTGAGATTGCCCATTAGCGAATCACTGGGTAGCTACGAGAAAATCACCCATTATTGGTTGTCCGTCATTGGTCACAACACGCGCAAAGCTTTCCAGCAATTCATTTCTAGCGAAAAAAATTTAGGCCAAAATCGTGCAGCCAAAAACCAATAAAACGATTTGTTCCGGCAATTTTTGACACTGGCCATATCAAAAAAACCTGTGGTGCGACAAAGATGTGGTTTTGTTACAGTTA